TCAAGACTCACTCCCCTGACAACAGGGCATACAACTAGTGTGCTTTAAGACCTTTCTATCTACAGGATTATTTCCCTTTTTGGATCTTGGGGCTTTCCAGCAACTCCTCTTTTAAAGAAAAAAAGAGATACTATGCAGGCTAATTTTTTATTTTTATAAAAATTATTAAATTTTAGCCTAATAAAACGACTTTTTAGGTTTTTTTCGTTTTCTACCTGCGGGGCATTAAACCTACGCAAATAATTCCATAAAATCTTATTTTTTAACAGAACACTGTTACAGCACATACCTTTAAGCAGGGGTACCGCCTTTCTGGTCCTTTCGTACTAAGAAAAACTATTTTTTTAAAATCGTGGATAGAAACTGACCTGGCTCCCGCCGGTCTGAACTCAGATCACGTAGGATTTTAATGGTCGAACAGACCAACCATTGGGAACTGCTGCATCCCCAGGAAATCCCGATCCAACATCGAGGTCGCAAACTTTTTTATCAATATGAACTCTCCAAAAAAATTACGCTGTTATCCCTACGGTAACTTATTCTTTTGCTCACCACTGCAGGTGGATCACTTTTTAAATAAATCCTATATTGGAAAATAATTGTTTTTCCAATAAAATTAACGGAGGATAATTATTCTCCGCGGTTGCCCCAACCTAAGTATTATATATACAACACTACTGTTTTTAGTAGTAAAACTATAAGAACTGTTTCTAACAATTGAATTAGCAACACAAACACTATTGACAAAGCTATATCTTATTTCTACTAAAGCTCGATAGGGTCTTCTCGTCCTGCGATCCCATTCCTGCTTCTTCACAGAAATATTAACTTCAAGATATAAGGGAGAGACAGCTAGATTCCCGTCTTGCCATTCATACCAGCCCCCATTTAAGAGGCAAATGATTATGCTACCTTTGCACGGTCAAGATACCGCGGCCGTTTAACTAAGTCACTGGGCAGGCAGGACCCTTTATATATTAGATTCTTTACAAAGAGCGATGTTTTTGGTAAACAGGCGAAATCTTTATTTGCCGAGTTCCTTTCCCTTAATTTAGGCTACACCATATTACTTGTGTTAGTAGACAACTTAAACAAACTAATTTCCCGATAATGAATAATTGTTCCATCCAATGTTAGGCCTGATTAATACACAAAAAATATGCTTTTACTCTCTACTAATTTCAACATTATAACTTTCAAACCTATGAAATTCTCCTATAAACTTTTACAATTTAGAATTATTTTCTAAAAATCTTTTGTATCTTCTACACTAAATAAGCTTTAACGCCCTTTGTAAAGCTAGATGCTATTAATCCTACTTTTTATCAATATCCGACACATTACTATGAAAACTACCCTTAATTAGTAAATAAAGCTTTTTCTTTATTGACAGAAAAGCTTATCCCTTCCTGTCTTACAATTATGCTACTATCAAAAACTACTTTATTATTCTGTAAAATAATTACTACAGCGATAAAAACATATATTTAGCTTACACCCAATTTCTAGGAAAACCAGCTATCCCTGAGCGCGATAAGCATTTCACACCTAATGTACCCTCAAACCTTACTATTGCAACAGTAAAAGCTCTCTCTCTTAAAGCAGAATACACTAGCTCGCCCAGCTTCGGGTTATAAAACACTATTTACATAACCTTATTGAACCATAATACAAAAGGTACAAACTTTAACTTTTTCTTTTCTGATTTAATTATCTTTCATATTATTTCAACCTTCCTTCACAGTACTATCACTTTAGCTTTTTTATTAAATTTCTTTAACCAATACTCTTCAACTCTTCTTATTAACACTATTTTGGTCAAAATAACAACACAAGAATTTAAAATATCAATATTATCTTCTAGCTAGTCTTTTAAAATTTTATTAATATATAACAATTATTTTAACAATGATAAAAACAAAGGTAAACAAACTAAACCCAAGGATCTCACCCCAAAGCTGACCCTCAGCAACACGCCTTCAAAAGTAAACACCCCATTTTGATTTCGATTTCTTCGTCACCTAAAAACTACTAACGAATGCTGCGGGAACAAAGTCAAACTTCTTTTAAAAGCTATTCGAAGATAGAAAAACAACCTCAACAATCTACCCATAACCAAAACCCCAGCTAAGATAAAACATCCTTTCTCAACTAAGCACTTTAAAGATATAAACTTTATCAAAAACCCAAAAAGAGGCGGCAACCCCCCCAAGGATAAAATTCTCAAAACCAGCCCAACTCCTCCAACAAAATTATAAAGAGACAAACGACCCACATGAGATAAAGACTTCAAATCAAAACTTTTAGCCATAAAAAAAACTGAAGAATTTATTATTATGTAAACAACCAGCATAACACACCCAACTCTAACAGAATACCTAACTGTACTACAAATTCAGCCAATATGAGCTATAGAAGAAAAGGCAAATATCTTCCGCATTTGAGTTTGATTTAAACCTCCTCACCCTCCTACAAGGACCGACAATCCTCCTAAACTTACCAGTAAACTTGTATTTAACCTTTCCACCACATATACTAAGACAGTAAATGGCGCTATCTTTTGCCAAGTAGATAAAACCAGGCCCTGGATAAACCCAACCCCTTGAACTACATCGGGAAATCAGTAATGACAGGGAAACAAACCCAACTTAAGCCCCAAAGCCAAAGTCATCAAAAAAGAGGTAACCTGTTTTAGAGGCTCCATTAAAGACCAAGAAGAATATAACCAAGCCTGGATGATCACAACATTCAACACAATCCCGGCCCTAACAGATTGAACTAGAAAATACTTCACCGATGACTCAACTTTACGAGGAGTAAACTGATCAGAAAGAATCGGCAATATAGACAAAGTATTCATTTCAAGTCCCACCCACAAGGTAAATCAGTGATGTCTTCTCAAAACAATTAGAGTTCCCAATACCACATTAGCAATTAATACCATCAAAATTTTGCGATGCATAAAGCCTGGAAGGAATTTAACCTTCTTCAATCTAATTATCAGCTAGATGTCCTTACCTTAAGGAACAAGCTCAACCTACAAAAAACAAGAACTAGGCGGCAAACTATTTAAGACACCTAACAACACCACAAAAAACACAAGAAAAGACAACCTAAGAGGGAGATACTTCTTTCAAGTAAGATACATTAATTGATCATATCGAAATCGCGGATAAGAAGCTCGCACCCACAAAAATAAGAGAACCAAAACTCCGGCCTTAATACTCACTACCAAAACATTAATTGGAAAGAATTTTCCCACTGGTGAAGACCCGCCTAAAAACAAAAGAACAGACAACAATTTAATAAAAATAATATTGGCATACTCTGCTATGAAAAACATGGCAAATGGGCCTCCAGCATACTCTACTTTGTAACCTGACACAATTTCAGACTCCCCCTCCGTAAGATCAAAAGGCGCCCGATTAGTCTCAGCCAAAGTAGAAACAAATCATATTACAAATAGAGGAAAACAACTAAACATCAACCAAGATTTACTTTGGGAACTCTCAATAACCTCTATATTAAACCCCCCGGCAAACAATACCACCCCTAACAAAATCAAACCAAGGCTTATCTCATAAGAAACCGTCTGAGCAACCGCTCGAACTGCCCCCAAGAAAGAATAGTTAGAATTAGAAGACCACCCAGACCCTAACAAAGAATACACAGACAAACTGGATAAACCTATTATTAACATCAGAGACAATTTTATCCTCAACACAGAATACTTCACTGGAATTACTGACCACAGCACCAAAGCTATCCCCAAAAAGAGAACAGGAGAAAAGAAAAATAAATAAGGAGATGCTTTAGAAGGCTTTAAGGTCTCCTTAATTAATAGCTTAAAACCGTCCGCAATAGGTTGTAACAGCCCAAAAGGCCCCACAATATTTGGACCCTTTCGAAGCTGCATGTAACCTAAAACCTTTCGCTCAACCAAGGTTAACAAAGCAACCGCCAACAAGACAGGCACTATAAAAAGAATAGATTTAACAAAAAACACAAATCAATCCACAGCTGAAAGAAGGATTTGAACCTTCGATAAAGAAAGCTTAGGCTTCTCGCATTTCCACTTTGCTATTTCAGCAAATCAATATATATAAAGTATTCTCACACCTATTTCATTTTTGATTATTTGCAAAAACCTTTCAGTTGGAAGCCGAATGTACTGATATACTCATGAAACCCTGACCAGGAAAGGACTCGAACCTTCCTACCTAAATTTACAATCTACTGCATCCCTATCTGCCACCCAATCAACACAAAGAGCTAGTTAAAAAATAACCCCAGATTGTCAGACTGGAATCATTGGTAACCACTCCAATGCTCTTTGGCCAAAAATAAAGGGAGGTATTTATCCTTCCATTTTTGAGGTATGAACCCAAAAGCTTTTTATTAGCTTACTTTACTCTTTCCCTGGCAGAGCTTGATAGTTAAGCATCTCTTTTACACAGAGCTAATATTTGTGCAAATCAAATTGCCTTGAAGTTTTGACGGAGATTACCCGCATCTATAGATTTGCAATCTAAAATGTTAATTACACTACAAAACCCAGAGGTTAAAAAATTCCCATTCTTATTTAAAGCTTTGAAGGCTCTTAGTTTAAATTAACTTAAACCCCTTCAGTGAACTTAGTTTAAAAGATAAAACAATTGATTTGCAATCAATAGCTCCAAGTTTAACTCTCGGAGTCCACAACTAGGAAAAGGATTTGAACCCTTGATCATAGATCCTAAGTCTACTGCAGTAACCACTTTGCTACCCCAGCCTGAGCTGACAAGTATTGATCTTGTTATCTCCTGGTTAACGGCCAATTGCCTTTCCATTAGGCTACAACCCACTAGAAAGTAGTATAACGGTAAAACAAAGAATTTTGATTTCTTAAATATAAGTTCAATCCTTATCTTTCTAATCAGAAAAGCAAGACTTTATACTCACACCAACAACTCCCAAAGCTATCATTCTACCTAAACTATTTTCTGATTACATTATATATAACAAATTTATAAACCATGCAACTAAGACGATGATTCTTTTCCACCAAACACAAGGACATTGGAACCCTTTATCTTATCTTTGGAGCCTGAGCTGGGATGGCCGGAACAGCAATGAGTGTAATAATACGGACAGAACTAGCACAACCTGGATCCTTACTACAAGACGACCAAATATACAAAGTAATAGTTACTGCACACGCCCTAGTCATGATATTCTTCATGGTAATGCCAATTATGATTGGAGGATTCGGAAACTGACTAATACCGTTAATGATCGGAGCCCCTGACATGGCCTTTCCCCGAATGAACAATATGAGATTCTGACTAATTCCCCCATCCTTTCTACTTTTATTAGCTTCCGCAGGCGTGGAAAGAGGAGCCGGAACAGGATGAACAATCTACCCCCCATTATCTAGAGGATTAGCCCACGCTGGAGGATCAGTAGACTTAGCAATATTTTCCCTTCACCTAGCGGGAGCTTCCTCAATACTTGCCTCAATAAAATTCATAACAACTGTTATAAAAATGCGAACACCAGGAATTTCATTTGACCGACTTCCTTTGTTTGTATGGTCAGTATTCGTAACAGCTTTCCTGCTCCTTCTATCCTTACCAGTACTTGCAGGTGCAATAACAATGCTTCTTACAGACCGAAAAGTTAATACCACCTTTTTCGACCCCGCAGGAGGGGGAGACCCTATCTTATTTCAACACTTATTCTGATTCTTTGGCCACCCAGAAGTTTACATTCTTATTCTTCCTGGATTTGGAATGATCTCTCACGTAATCGCCCACTACGCAGGAAAGAGAGAGCCATTTGGTTATCTCGGAATGGTCTACGCCATAGTTTCTATTGGAATTCTAGGGTTTTTAGTTTGAGCCCACCACATGTTTACAGTCGGGATGGACGTTGACACCCGAGCATACTTTACAGCAGCAACCATGATTATAGCAGTACCAACTGGTATAAAGGTATTTAGCTGAATGGCAACACTACAAGGAAGGAATCTCCGATGAGACACACCTCTACTATGAGCACTTGGATTCGTATTCTTATTTACCATTGGTGGACTAACCGGAGTTATCCTTGCAAAATCATCCATTGACGTTATTCTCCACGATACTTACTATGTAGTCGCCCACTTTCACTACGTATTGTCAATGGGAGCAGTTTTTGCCATATTTGCAGGATTTACCCACTGATTTCCCCTATTCTCCGGAGTAGGCCTACACCCCCTATGAGGAAAGATTCACTTCACTCTGATGTTTATCGGTGTAAACCTTACCTTCTTCCCACAACATTTCCTAGGACTAGCTGGAATGCCACGACGATACTCCGACTACCCCGATGCCTACACACTCTGAAACACCGTATCTTCTATTGGTAGAACCATATCCCTTATTGCAACGTTGGTATTCTTATTCATCTTGTGAGAAGCATTTACTTCCCAACGAACTGCCCTACAACCTGAATTCTCTTCCTCTTCCCTTGAATGACAATACTCATCTTTTCCCCCATCTCACCACACATTTGACGAAATCCCTTCAACAGTCTACCTAATTAAGTAAACGAGGATTAGTTTAACAAAAACCCTTAATTTCGACTTAAAAAATTTCGGTAAACACCCCGAAATCCTCCTATTACATCAACTTTCATTATTACCATAACAATATTCTACTTAGGCCTTCTCGGAATTCTAATAAAACGACTACACTTCCTATCAATTCTATTATGCTTAGAACTCCTATTAATATCCCTATTCATGAGACTAACCATATGAGCCATAAAAGCCGGAACAACATTTATACTCACGAATAAACTTATTCTCCTAACCCTATCAGCCTGTGAAGCCAGCGCAGGACTTTCTCTCATGGTAGCCCTCTCCCGGACACACAACTCCGACCTTGTATCAACCATTAAAATACTCCAACAGTAAATGGCAAACTGAACCCAACTAGGACTGCAAGATGCATCTTCCCCACTAATGGAAGAACTTATATACTTTCATGATTATACTTTAATTATCCTCACCCTAATAACAATATTAGTATTTTACGGACTAGCTTCGCTACTATTTTCCTCCAAAACCAACCGATTCTTTTTAGAAGGTCAAGGACTAGAAACTATCTGAACCATTATACCTGCCGTAATACTAATATTTATTGCCCTCCCCTCCCTACAGCTACTGTACTTAATGGACGAAGTAAAAAACCCATTCCTAACAATAAAGGCCATAGGACACCAATGGTACTGAAGATATGAATATGCAGACTATCGAGAGTTAGAATTCGACTCCTACATGATCCCAACCTCTGATCTCACCTCTGGTAAACCTCGACTCCTAGAAGTAGACAATCGACTCACCCTGCCTGCCCAAACACCCATCCGAGTATTAGTCTCTTCCGCAGACGTCCTACACTCCTGGGCGATCCCTTCTCTTGGCATAAAGATGGATGCCGTCCCCGGACGCTTGAATCAGGTAAAATTCTTTATCTCCCGATGTGGGCTGTTCTATGGCCAATGTTCAGAAATCTGCGGGGCCAAACACAGCTTCATGCCCATAGTAATTGAATCAGTAAAATTCTCCACATTCGAAACCTGAGTATCTAAATTTATAACCGAATCTTTGATAAGCTAATAAGGTAGCATCAAACTCTTAATTTGAATAAAAGTGAATTACCCACCCACTATCAAAGAAATGCCACAACTAAAACTTGCATGATGACTACTTAAATTTTTCCTGGGCTGAACCTCCTTGCTAATTATATTTATAATACTCTTGAAAACAAAACCTACTAACAAAATTACAAATACCAGAACCACTACTAACACTACCCCAAACCTAACATGAACCTGAAACTAAAAAGAATCTTTGGCCAGTTCTCCCCAGACCTTATCTTATTTATCCCTATGACCATAACAGCCATCTTCCTTAACCTTAGATGGCTATCCATTTCCAAACCATCTAAATGACTCCCTTCCCGAGCAAACCTCCTCATACTATCCTTTTACCAAGAGGTACTTAAGATCCTGTTTCAACAAACAAACCCTAACACAGCCCCTTGAATATCAACTTTTACCGCCATATTCATACTCATATTTTCAGTAAAAGTCCTTGGTCTCCTTCCATATGCATTTACCTCCACAAGCCACATATCACTAACATACTCTGTTGGAATTCCCCTTTGAATGTCCGTAAAAATACTTGGATTTTACTTAGCATTCAACAGCCGACTAGGCCACTTAGTTCCCCAAGGAACCCCCTCTTATCTTATACCATTCATGGTAATTATAGAAACAATTAGCCTTTTTGCACAACCCATAGCATTAGGACTACGACTTGCAGCAAACCTAACCGCTGGACACTTACTCATATTCCTATTATCCACCGCAATCTGAACTCTATCCAACAGCCCTTCCATAGCCGGAATTACCTTACTAATATTTTTCTTTCTCTTCCTCTTAGAAATAGGTGTAGCCTGTATTCAAGCCTACGTATTCACCGCCCTAGTCAACTTTTACCTATCCCAAAACCTATAAAACTTATGACCCATCAACACCCATACCACCTGGTTGACCAAAGCCCCTGGCCTCTAACTGGGGCAATAAGAGCTCTAATGATGACCTCTGGCCTTATACTATGATTTCATGCTAACAAAAATCACCTCCTTCTAGCCGGAACGATCCTCCTTCTTCTAACCATTATAAATTGATGACGAGACGTAATCCGAGAAGCAACTTTTCAAGGAAGACACACCCTGCCCGTAAACACAGGACTACGGTACGGCATGATACTTTTTATAACCTCCGAAGTGTGCTTCTTTTTTGCCTTCTTCTGAGCATTTTTTCACAGAAGCCTAGCACCCACGATTGAACTCGGAGTATCCTGACCCCCAACTGGAATTAGCCCCATAAATCCATTTCTGGTCCCCCTACTAAACACAGCCGTCCTACTCTCCTCAGGGGTTACAGTCACCTGAGCCCACCACAGAATACTAGCCCAAAATCGAACCGAAGCAATACAAGGATTATTTCTTACAGTAATCCTTGGGGTCTACTTCACCGGCCTTCAAGCTTGAGAATATTATGACTCCCCATTTACTATCGCAGACAGAGTCTACGGGTCCACATTTTTTGTAGCCACAGGCTTCCACGGCCTGCACGTACTCATAGGTACAACTTTCCTATTTATTTGCTTCCTCCGACTAATAACATTTCACTTCTCGAATAATCACCATTTTGGATTTGAAGCAGCCGCCTGGTATTGACACTTCGTAGACGTAGTCTGATTATTCCTTTACATTTGCATTTACTGATGAGGATCATAAGAGAAAAAAGGATTTGAACCTTCCTCTTTTTAGTTTCAAGCTAAATGCATCCCTATCTGCCATTTCTCCACACCAAACTATATATACCAATAAAATTTTCAAATTCCTCACCCTCTTTGCGTCAATCTCACTTATAACCGCATTAATCACATTCGCTGCACACTTCCTCCCATCTCGAAAAACGGACTCAGAAAAGTCATCTCCCTATGAATGCGGTTTCGACCCCCTAAAATCCGCTCGAGTCCCCTTCTCATTCCGATTCTTCCTGGTGGCCATTTTATTTCTACTTTTTGATCTAGAAATAGCCCTACTATTCCCCCTGCCTTTCAGAATTTTCCTGCATCCTGTACACACCCCTATTTTACTCACCTGCCTATTCCTCTTTATACTAACCATTGGATTAATTTTCGAATGAGTACAAGGAGGCCTAGACTGAGCCGAATAATACCAACTAATGATATATCTTATTCTTACCTCTACCTTAACACTGACAACTACCTGAATAGTACCACGGAAGCTTTTATGGCCCTCCTCCATTATAAAATCCATACTTATTTCCATAATAAGATTGAACCTACTAAGAAACCATTCTGCCTCTCTTTGACACAAACTATCCTTAAAATTCGCTACAGATCCCACATCTACACCCCTAATAATTCTAAGATCATGACTAGTCCCCATATCCCTCATCGCTAGAATAAAAACTATCCAAAACCACAAACACATTAACCAACGCACTTTCATCTCACTCGTGTTCATCATACTGACCGCCCTAATCTTAACATTCTCCTCATTAGAACTAAGCCTTTTCTACGTCGCCTTTGAGACCACACTTCTTCCCACCCTCACTCTTATATCACGATGAGGAGCACAAAAGGAACGATACCAAGCAAGGATATACTTCCTGTTTTATACTCTTATAGGATCCCTGCCGCTACTCGTTTCAATCATAGCAATATTTACCCACAAAAAAACCATCATACTTCCATCAATTCACCTAACCAAATCAATTTCCAATCTCCCCGTCACGCTAACATCCATATGATGAATCTGCTGCTTTGTGGCCTTCATAATAAAGATGCCCATATACGGATTCCACCTATGACTCCCAAAGGCCCACGTAGAGGCGCCAATAGCGGGGTCAATGATACTTGCAGCAATACTTCTAAAGCTAGGAGGATACGGACTCCTCCGGACAATCCCACTATTTTCTACTCCTTCCTCCCTACTCTTATCAACCCCTGCTACCACATTTTGCATATGAGGGGCCCTAATAACGAGGATAATTTGCCTGCGACAGACAGACCTAAAGGCCTTAATAGCCTATTCCTCTGTCGGCCACATGAGCATAGTAGCCTCAGGAATATTCTCACTCTCCCTTTGAGGCCTAAAAGGAGCCCTAACACTAATGATTGCACACGGACTAATCTCCTCCGCACTATTTTGCCTTGCTAAATTGCTCTACGAGCGAAAAGGAACTCGAACCTTATCAATAACACGAGGATTTAAGATGGTCACACCCCTACTTACCTTATGATGAACCGTTACTTGCATAGCAAACTTAGGACTCCCCCCAACCCCCAATCTAATAGGAGAACTCCTCATCCTAGTGGCAATAATTGATTGAAAAACACTATCTATGCCGATAATAACAATAGCAACAATCTTTGGAGCCATCTACTCCCTTCTGATCCTCAGGAGAACCAATAAAAGCTCTTTCCCCCCATTCTTAACTAAAATTCAACCAACAAACACCTCCGAACATACTCTTATGACCTTCCACCTCCTTCCTTTAGTTTTTCTCGTTTTGAAACCCTCCGCCATTTTAATTAAATAAAATACAAATAGTTACCGTACCCCCCCCTTATAAAAAAAAAAAAAAAAAAAAAAGAGTGGAATTCCCCAAGATCTGTTTTATTTTGCAGATCGGTAAATCATCCCAAATAGCAGAGCATTTCAAAATTTTACGAAAAATTTGACCAAAGTAGTTTAAAAAAAACATTAATTTGTGGCATTAGAATTACCAGTTAAAACCTGGTCTCTGGTCCGAAACTTATTGGCTTATTCCGGTCCTGCTAAGTCTCAGAATCTGTAGTTCAACTCTATAGAAGTTTCGGTGACAGTAAAACCCTCTAGAATTATACTTACTATAAAAATTTCTATCATTATTATCCTGTTGTCCTCTATATTCTTTTTTCAAAATAAAACTAACCCAAGCAATTTAAAATCAAGTTCTTACAGCCTGGGAATTTTTCACAAAACCAGTTTTAGCTATTTATTTAAAAATAGACTATTTTTTACCTCTTTATTAAAGATACTAGCCATTTTATCCCTTTTCCCCCTATTTATAGAAATAATATTCAAAATTCCAGAGACAACCATCTCCCTGTTTAATTGGCTACCTAAAAAAAGATTTTCGTTAAACATAGAATTTCGTTTTGACCTAAAGTTTAAAACCTTTTTGTCAGTTGCTCTTATAGTCTCATGGTCTATACTAGAATTCTCGTACTACTACATGGACAATGACCCAAACCCCCATAAATTTTTTCGACTTCTTATAATCTTTCTTTTAAAAATGATTATACTAACCTCTACTAAAAATATCTTTTTATTGTTTATAGGCTGAGAGGGAGTGGGATTTCTATCTTTTTTACTTATTAGATGATGAACATCTCGAACAAAAGCTAAAAATTCAGCTATTCAAGCAGTTATCTACAATCGAATAGGGGACATAGGAATTCTTTTATTCTTTTCTTTAAGAATCACACTATTTAATTCTTGGTCTTTGCCAGAAATATTTAATATAAAAGTACCTCACTCATTCAAAAATCTTCTACTAATTGGACTTCTAATAGCCGCAGCCGGAAAGTCTGCCCAATTTGGTCTTCACCCCTGACTCCCCGCAGCAATGGAAGGCCCCACCCCCGTTTCAGCATTACTTCACAGCTCGACCATGGTAGTAGCTGGAATTTTCTTACTCATTCGACTAGGGCCCCTATATGCTTCTGCTAGAAATTTTAAAACTTGGTGCCTAATCCTTGGATCAATAACAGCTATTTTCGCCGCTACTACTGCTATCTCTCAACACGACATAAAGAAGATAGTTGCATATTCTACCACAAGACAACTAGGGCTAATGATGGTCGCCATTGGCCTAAACCAGCCTAAAATAGCATTATTTCATATCTGCACTCACGCCTTCTTCAAGGCCATGCTATTTTTGTCCTCAGGAAGAATTATACACAGCCTTAAAGATGAACAAGACATTCGAAAGATGGGCGGGCTTCACTTTATTCTTCCCAACACATCCGCCTGTATTATTCTAGGAAGCCTTGCCTTATCAGGAATTCCTTTCTTAGCAGGATTTTACTCGAAGGACTTAATCCTAGAAATAGGACTTACTAAATTTTCTAAATTTATGGGAATAACCCTTTCCCTTCTAGCAACACTATTAACCTCAGTTTATTCATTTCGAATCATATTCTTTTGCTTTATTAAGAACCCCTCCTTTTCCCCCCTTACCCCACAAAAGAAGAAAAAAATAATCTAATCAAATCTCTAAAACGCTTAGCCCTTGGAACTATTTTATCCGGGTGAATTCTTACCAAACTTACAGTCCTTGCCCCGATTATAACAATTAGCTCCATATTAAAGACCATCGCACTTCTACTAACCATCACAGGAGTACTTTTCTCAATTTCAATTCTACAAGAACTTACCCTAAAGATTTCACCCCCACCGCATCTAAGGCTAATTCATTCACCACCAAACAATGATTTTACGAAAAAATATCACACATCCTGTTCCTATTCTACTCATTTTTCATATCCCTATCTCTCACCACTCGAAAAATAGATCGAGGATGAAGAGAAAACATTGGTGCACAAGGAATAGCAACAACCTCCTCTAAGGCATCACAAAAATATCAACTTTCCCAGACAGGCTACATAAAGCAGTATCTGCTATTTTCCTTTTTAACCCTCCTAATTATTATAACACTGTCGCTGACAACCATAAGACAACTCTCCCCAGAGACCTCTGTCTAACGCAATTTACTTCTCATAACAACTTGAATAAAGTCAGCCCTTTGCCTTTAATTTACAAAGCCTTTAAAATCCTATAATCCGACCCATAAGTTAGCACAAGAGCAACAATTAAAGCTACCAATAATATATAACCTCCAATCAACAAATATCCTCCCATTCTCCTATATAATTTTCTAGCCCCGACCAAATCACTTTTTGTTACAAAAACCCAACTTTTTAGATCAACTTTAACTAAAGAATCAAATTTCAGAACCCCCAGAAAATAACAAGAAGCCTAAGAACTAAGATTTCATTGAATTTACTAACTCTTGGATACCGCTCTGCTGATATGGCCGTAGAGTATACAAAGACCACTAACATCCCCCCAACATATATTAAAATCAGGACCAAAGCTATAAAGGAAAACCCCAACAATCTGCACAGCAAGCAACCAGACAATGCCACCAAAACTAAACCTAAGGCACCATAATAAGGCGACAAACTATAGAAAACCAAAGTCCTTCCCAGGAACATTAAAACTAAGATTGTATAAAAAATCATTATATATAAGAAATTATGACAGGCCCCCTTCGAAAGAAACACCCCTTATTTAGAATTATAAAAAACTCCCTAATAGACCTACCTTCCCCAAGTAAACTTTCTATCTGGTGAAAATTCGGATCACTCCTAGGACTATGCTTAATAATACAGATACTTACCGGCCTATTTCTAGCGATGCATTACACCTCAGACGTCTCCCTGGCATTCTCCTCCATCAGCCACATATGCCGCGATGTAAAATACGGATGACTTTTACGAAACATCCACGCCAAAACAGCATCTTTCTTTTTCCTTTGCTTATACTTCCACATTGGACGAGGCATTTACTATGGCTCCTACGTTAAAGAAGAAACTTGAAACATAGGAGTCATCCTGTTCCTATTAACCATGGCAACCGCATTCGTAGGATATGTATTACCCTGAGGCCAAATGTCTTTCTGAGGAGCTACAGTAATAACTAACTTAATATCCGCTGTACCGTACATAGGATCATCTATAGTACAATGAGTTTGAGGCGGATTTTCCGTTGACAATGCTACGCTAACCCGATTTTTTGCCTTCCATTTCCTATTCCCCTTCATCATCACTGCTTTGTCAATTATCCACCTATTCTTCCTACATCAAACCGGATCTAATAAACCAACTGGTATAGAATCGAAGTTCGATAAGACCCCATTCCACACCTACTTTTCAACTAAGGACGTACAGGCTTTATTATTTTATTTATGCTCCTAAGATCAATAGTTTTATTGTCGCCCAACCTACTAAAAGACCCCGAAAAATTCAAACCAGCTAAACCCCTGGTAACCCCTGTCCACATCCAACCAGAATGATATTTCCTGTTTGCCTATGCAATCCTACGATC